GCGTCTTAGGCACATAGTCTCCCTTTCTAGAAGTTAATACCGCTGCCCTAAGTGGGATGGTTAGGTCATATCTTACAATGCTGTGCAAGAGGTTCCCATAGCTTGTTTTATTCTGTTGCGCAGGGCCCTACTATAAGAAACCGCGCGGCGCTCAACCTACTACCTGCCGACAACACGTCAAGACACTGCCATCCAGTCTAGCTGTTATCGGTCCCATACGTCTTCCGGGCTAGGGAGCGAAAGACGAAAAACATTACTGGTTAACATCCCTTGACAATATGAAGCGATATCGGGCATAAAGATAGACTTGAATGCATTTATGCATCACTTCTGTTGATCAATACCGTATCCACTAAAATGACAAAAAGACAAATCGGAGTGCAACAAGACACAATACGCAACCCTTTGTTCCTTTAGAACTTTGTGATTGGTGTACTTATTATTCACCTTCATTGCATGGTTCCAGAAGGCTCTATGACTATTGCATAGACAGCTGCCAGTACATATACCAGCCTGCCATAGTAAACCTAAAATGAACTGTTTCCCATGATAGCAATAAGTGATTTACATAACTGTTGATCACTTGTGATGAAAAAATAACCCACCTTAATGACAGTGCCTATTAAAGATTGTACCGAACAAGAAAACAGGTAATTACTAGGTAGATTATAACATCGCACTTATCCGGTAGCTTACTCTCTAATCTTCTATTTACCATACGGCAGGTTATTTTCAATCTTTTGTTCCCTTTAGACCAATTTAGCGCCATGATACTCTCTGTTACTACATATTTACCCTTACTTTTGTACAAGGTATATTGAATTCAGTTTCTCGCAAGATTCTTATAGCTGATTTTCGTTACGACCCCTATGTGTTATCGATTGCGACTAACAAACGACCCGCGTTCCACCGATTTGCAGACAAAGCAATAATAAAAGAAGTTGGAGTGATACGGAAATTTCCGAAAATCACCATTAGTTAGCTATAACCAGCAAACCCAAGAATGGTTTAACAAACAGTCATTAGAATAGTAGTATAGTAAGTCAATTCAAATAGCATTTCAAGCTTTTAAACAAATACCATCCTAGAATAGCAAGCACGTGACCATTTAGTTCTGCTTAACATAAGAGCAAAGTTAGACTTTGATTTAGGCGAAAAGACTGGTGCCAACCACTGGGCCTGTGAAACGATGTTAATAAGCGTGCTAATTAATGGAACAGCGCCCACGAAATTTGGAAACATATAGATAACAACTGCGACTTAATCAAACGTAAAGTTTTGTGAATTATTAATGCCAGAGTCCAAGCAGAAAACGTGAGATAGTTAAACAGAAGTTACTACGGACTATCCTGCAGGTACAAGCAAACGGGCATATTGCCCACTTCGGCAAGTGTCTACGCACTCGCATGTACATGAAAAACAAAATGAGAAATGCCATAAGATGCTTAAGTATGACATTGTATATAATACCTTGTTAACATCAATAGCCCTAGCCCATTATGTTTTCGTTGTAAATAGAAGTGCAGATCGAGACAGCGTGACCTATTTGTGTACGGTGGTCGTTCCGATAAAATGAAGTCCACTCGCAAATGAGTTGTACAAAATGGTTGAGTCTGGAACCCCTAAGCTAACAGGAAACACTCCATGAATTTATAAAAACATATGCATGCATCGACTTGAAGCAGTATCGCGTTATTGCTGATCTGCGGGTGCGTTTCGGCGGTCGCCCACGACGACCTTGTTAGCACCTTGACACCAGTCAACTGGCGAAGCCAGCTGTTCTGAATGCGCATAGAAGTACGCTGAACTGCGGGGTTAGTACGCACTCAGTGAATATAACTGAATATTACCGGTCACCTGTACACCAAAGCTTACTAGCGTCAGACAAATCCTCATGTGGCAAGTTTAGTAGTCAACATGGACGTTGGGTTGTTTCGTAGTCTCTGTAACTTATCGATGTTCGCCGGTACATTCCGGCTGAAAGCAAATACAATGAGACCCGCAAGATCTTCAGGGCAAAATTCCGTGCTTTCCTGAGGAGAGACCGCGAAGTTTGGTGGTTTTCTTGCGCGTCAGAGATGGAAGTGGATGTTGACCTTGGTAACCTAGTGTTGGTGAAAGGATATTTGACGAGAGTGGACAGCCTATCTACAACTTGTCAAAAGGCTTGGAGCTTTAGGCTAAAATCTTTGAAATGCAATTTAATCGGTCGAAATCGTCAGCTTTCTAGCTAGTCACGCTTCGCCTTGCTTCCTTTGGATCCACCACCTTGCTAAGAAGTCGAACTTGAGGTCGAACTGCTGAAGTTGAATTAAGTCGTAGAATCAGAGGATCTTTCTACAGCTCTTTTCAAATTCGGGGGAGCTGCATTTACGGACGACTTACACGAGTTACTAGTGAGACTATGAGCTCAAAACACTGTCCAGACAGATTTTAGTCACTTCGTTTTAGTCTTAATTTCTAAAGGAGGCTCACGATCGGAATGCGGCAACCATAGAGGAATCGGTCTGTTCTCCATTGCCTCCAAATTCCTTGCATCTGTCGTCCATCACAAACTAAGTGGCACTCGTGAAAGTCAGCCTAGTGGAGAGCAAGCCTGCTTTCGTCGAAGTCGAGGCTGAATCGACCACATCTTCACTTTACGTCAGTTCTTGGAGGGTCGTCGCCTATATTGGCGGCCCACCGTTGTCTGTTCCTCCATCCCAAATGTGTCTTCGATTGGGTTGATCGGTGTGTCCTTTTGTACTGTCTACTCAAGAAAGATGTGTTCCAGAAAAATATAAATATTATCCGAGTGTTATACGCGCGTAGCATGGTGAGTGTAAGGGCTCACGGAAAGCTGCCGTCACCCTACCATATCGACAGCGGTGTGCGACAAGTGTGCCGGTTCTCACTTTTCCTCTTTCTTTTCGCCGTTAAAGAAGTCATGGAGATCACGTCCACAGGACACGACTTAACAGGTATGGAACTGCTCCCAGACGAGCGACTTCTTGATTTGAAATATGCTGAAGCTACTTCTCTAATATCTGACCACTAGCATATGTGCCAATCGGCACTGGACAGAGTAGCTCTGGCTGTCGGCCGTTTCATGCTATTCTTTGCTCCCTCGAAGTGCAAAGCTTATCTACAAAATTCGCAGAGACCGCCTCCTGCGCTAACCCTTGTTGGAAATCAGCTAGAAGCCGTTAAAAAATTCAAGAACCAGGAAAGTTGTATCAGCGCCTTCGGGATCAAAGTTGAGATCACGAAACGTATAGCAAAAGCTCGAGGTGATTTTGCTCGTCTTCGCCACCTATGGCGCCGACGCGACATTACGCTCGCCCTGAAGACTGTACAATGCAGACTTCCGTTCAACTCTCTATTACAACTGTAAAACCCGGCCCATTAGATCAGCAAATATAAGGAGGATAGCAGTGCTCGACCACCAGTGCATTCGCAGTTTGCTGAAATCTTGTGGGAACACTGCGTGAGCAAAGGACGTGTTCGACGCCATGTTCATGGTACAAGAAGAGGAGATGAACTACACAGCACCGTTATTTCACGCATTAGGCTACGATGGCTCGGCTACGGGTTGCACATGCCAGCCAACTTAGTCCCGTGACTTGCGTTATTTGCGCGGCAGGGGTGTGGAGGGGAGAGGAGGAGAGGTGGCCACCAGGTGAAATAAGCGACAGCAATGCAAGCCGTTACTTCAACGTTGACTTTGGTTGGAGACTATCGGCTCTCTGTTTGGGTCCGAAAGGTGATGAACACATTTGGCCGGATACGCTTGCTGACACAGCTAGGAGCCAATCTCTGTGGCGTTTGTACTGTGAGGTTCTTTGTCCCTACTCTTCACACAGCCTCTCCTCCAACCGCGATCTCATTACTTAGCATAAAACAGCTTTTGCATTATAATTTATTTGCTGCATAGAAGTCGGCTGGTAGTTTTCTGGTACAATGCCAATCAGTTACTGGTGGCACAGCTTGGGTTTACCTGGTGTATGTTTAGTTTCTCATCTATTCTTGTGTATTGCAGCACAGTAGTTGAGGTTTTTCCACCTCTAGCCAAGGTGTATAATGATAATGATGATAATGAATGTCGCATAATGACATTTTGAAAGACTTATTTGCCATAAACTCTGATGACCGTGGTTACCGGCTAGGATGCATTCACCTCGAAAGGCTAAATCAGAAAATGCCTCATCACGATAGGGAGCCTCCAGAAATTTGGCTCACTGGGGCAGTTATGGAGAGTTAAATTTGTCATTCAGCGTTATCGCTTCGGTTACGCCTAATTAGACTTAAAGGTAGCCCGTGCTCTGTGCAATGTCACCGGCTAGTAGGCAACGAAGTAGACTATGCAGAGATCAAGACGCAATCGCTGAGCTATACATAGTAATGTACCAAAAACGTTCAAAACACCAGTGGATTTAAGTCTACGGTGCTGTTTACGTTTCAGTAATTACCTAAAATGACAAAACATAACTGTCTACACTCTTAGACTGTCAAAACTTAGCGCTGGATAAGCACACAACAGATAATGTTAACGAAGTCGTCAAGATTGCCATCCGTCAGAAAAGAACGGCTCGATTAAAAGCCGTTTAAAGAATAGATAGCCATACCTGCAAAGAGCTAATTGGTCGGTTTGTGGAATGAGTAGGTCCATGTTTCAAAGGGTTAAAGAGATGTACACCTGTGAATGCTGACGGCTGTTAAGAGGGTTCACGTCGAATGGTTAAGTAGCCTCCGCGGACATATAATTGTGCCAGTGACACAATGTGCGAGAAAATTACACAGGCGCAATGCACAGAAACAGTAAGAACAGGGTGACCATACACATGCGTATGCACACACAAGTGACGTGCTGTGGTGATAAAACTCTGAGTGGCTGTAAAGCGCGAAGTATTACTGGGCCTGGAGGATCTCACATATAGCAAAGTTCCACTAGATGTCCACTGCAAGTGCGAAAATTTGTTAACATATGTCATCTGTCAGTCTAGCTTTATCAAACAACTTACAGGCCATTCGTCTTCTTTAGGTGTTCCTAGAGAACGTATAACAATCCAAAGTTGCTCAATGTCATTCTCTCCCTTTGACAGTAAGATTGCGGACCAATGGACAACTTACAGGAAATATAGGAGAGAGATTTAGAAGTTCAGCAAAAATGCACCCCACCGCCCTATAAATAGGTATGTACGGTTAAGGTGACAAAACTCACCACAAGTCGACATGGTTAAAGTATCTTTGTGCACCATAAAGAAGTTCAGGTGCTCTGTACCATCTTGCAGATAACAACAGAAATACAAATGAGGGAATGTCATACCGAGTCGCAACTTGGTGACTGTACAACCTGGCATTACAGTCTTGGTACAAACGTGCTAGTCCGAAGTCCGCTATTTTTAGGATTCCGTTCTCGTTAAGTAAAAGGTTTGCAGGCTTCAGATCCTACAATGTGTCGCATGAGAAGCAATAAAAGATACGCTAGCATACACGATGCATTATCCCCAAACTGTGTATCACTTCTAGGCCTAATAGCAACATCATCATATAGCTTTTCACATGTGAAGGTTTAAGATGGCAACTATGATTCCGAATAATTTCGCTCAGATCAGTCGTCATGTAATCAAATACCAACACGAAACCGAAGCCATGAGGAAACATTTCTCTTAAACGAACTACGTACGGGCATGATTCAACAAACTGGAGCGCTTTAATCTCTCTGCAAAAGTGGAACCTTAGACAATGCCTCACCTCAGTGCAGTAGTCGGTATACCATCAGCCGAATTGCGCAATGAAATTTTTTTCAACGCAACCAATTCATTACTCTAGAAGAAAATGCAAAATCCAAAAGTAAACCTTTGTATGTTTGGCTTTGAGAATAACTCCATGGGCGCCCTCACCAATTCGACCGAAAACGACATAATTTTCCATAATTCAAAGTCGTCACAAGCGTCATTGTTATGAGGGGCACAGAATCAAACAAAAATGAAATACATTGTCTGCCTGAATGTTTGCAAGGTTCTTCTAAGTCAGCTGGGTATATTATTAACGTGCACCATAATATCGTGCCGTTAGGTATCGGAGGCAGTAGGTTGAGTTGTACACTGTTTTTGCTGTTCGGCTGAGCATCACACATGTAACGAACGAGCGAAACTAGTTTGGCGCTTGGCCGAAGTTGAATCGTTGCTTTGACAGCACATTTTCTCGCTACCTTTCGGAACGTCATTCCTGCTCAATTACTGCAGAATAACAAGAACCTTTGAAAAACATTCAACTCTAATTTCTCTTTCACCCCTTCATATGTTACGTTGTTTCTTTCTTATAGAGCCTACGTGTTGCGTAATAGACGTTCCGTCTCAATCCTTGGAATTCTCCTTTGTCCGTATGTTGTAACTGGCAACCCTGCCAGGATCCAGAATTAATGGCCAAGCCAACTAACCCATCCGACAAAGAAATTTGGTTGCAGACCGATCCGGGTGTAAGGATTACTTTTGCTTTGTAAGCTTTGTCGGACGTCATGCAGAAGCTGACAATGAATCTAACACCAGCCCCTTCCACACCACCGTGACCACTTCCGGAAAAATTTTTACCAGACGCGCCAAATCTCCGATGGGAAACGAAGTGCAAAGGTACATCAAGCACTTTCCGGCCGCACAACGCGGTACTGTTATTGTTGGTCTACTGCCAGGCGCGACATTTGCGAAAGTTTTGGATAGTAAGGTGTTGGATGGAGAGCTCACCATGGAAACGTTTGCCGCCCTTCGCCGTCTCTTAGGTCGACCCGGCCTGCCCGGCGAACAGCGCAGAGGTTTCATGCCCGGTACCAATGACCGGGGAAAACCGTAGAAACATACGTTCGCAAACTGTGGAGGATGGCAGTAACTGCCTATGCAGATGAAGCCCACGGACAACAGGACAGAAGCACTTTAGAGCAGTTGCTCGAAGGTATCCAAACTCCCTCGGTAAAAGGGAGTTTCGTTTACACCGCCCTACTTTTCTCCAGGCAGCCCTATAAAGGTCTGACCAATTAGAGCAAGTGGATGGGCAATGGGCCTGCTGGAAAAAGGTTGTGCGTTGAAGGGATACAAGCACGCTTAATTCAAGCCACTAGAACGAAGGAATTGGGATCGTACGCCTTGTCGATGGGGTTACCCACTACCGCCGGTACAATCGAAATTGCGAAAGCCCCGCCGCCTACACCAAGAAGAGGAAATTTCCCTTTAAGCCAAGGCAGCAGAAGTCTTCAAAGTGAGTGCGACCGTGTGAAGTCAGTTTTAATTCCCGCTGTCACATGCACAACGACCGCATTCTCATTAAAGGTAGAGCTAACCATAGCAGGAGTGCCGCTGATAGGTCTAATTGACACAAGGGCATGCAGGATCTTAGTCCGAGTTAATATAGCCATGTCATTGTCAGATTGTGTGTGTGGACGCCATGCCGGTATCGTCTGACCGTTGCTAATGGGGCATCCCTGTCTGTTCGGGAACCTGTCACGGCTAAGGTGCATATTGCTAGTGAGAGGTTCCGCCACGAGTTTATGTTGATGATAACATTCCATTTGCTGTAATCATTGGGATGGATTTATTGAAGCATCTGAGATGTCACTTAATCAGCGACAGTTGCTTTGTATTGCTTAGACGAGGCCAGGCCAACAGTATTGAAACTTTTACGATTTGTGGGAGCCTCACTGACGAGGAACACCGGGTAGACAGCTTTTTCCGCTCACTCGAACTGCCAATGGACGAGCAAACGTTGGAGAATCTTACAAAGGTGCTGTTAGCCCACTCCGGTGTATTCGCCTGGCTGACTGGAGCCCTGGGCCGCACCGGCGTCTTGCAACACCTAATCGACATTGGGAATACAACCCAAACTCACCCAAGAGGGAACCCAGTAAATTGGCAAGACGAGTTGCAAAAGCCTATAGATCAAATGCTGAAGAAGGAGGTTATACGACCCTCCGCTTCTCCATGGACTGCCCCAGTTGGCTTAGTAAATGAGAAAGACGGTGGTTTTAGGCTGTGTGTGGATTATAGGCGGCTAAACGAAGTCACGCGGAGCGATGAATATCCACTTCCCAAAATTGATGACCTATCCCACGAGCTCGGAAAGTCAACTTATTGCAGCACGTTAGATTTGGTGTCAGGTTATAGGTAAGTGGAGATCGAAGAGAGTGACCGAGCGAAAACAGCCTTTGTAGTCCCTTCAGGCCTTCATGAGTATCAAACAATGCCTTTGGGCCTAGCAAAAGCCCCTGCAACCTTTCAACGTCTTATGCAGAAGGTGCTTCATGATTTAATGCCCCACAATTGTCTCGTCTATCTGGACGATATCATCGTACAGGGGAAACGAAGCATGAACATCTAAGCAATCTAGCCGCAGTGACGACGTGTCTTATCAATGTGGGCTTGAATGTCGAATCAACCAGCGTGACGTACTACAAGAAGACGTTGCCTATCTCGGGCACATCATCTCTAAGGCAGGCATCCGGACAGAACCTCGCAAGAGGGATCAGGTAAAGGCGTGACCAATCCCCACTAAGTTCGAGGAGTTAAACAGTTTCTTAGGGCTGGCGTCATACTATTGTCGATTCCTCGAAGGGTTCGCGGAAGTCGCAGCCCCTTTAAACGCGCCGTTGCAAAATGGTCGCAGTTTTGATTGGACTGTCGAAGGTCAGGCGGGCTTCGATCGACTCTGCGAGGCTGTCTGTACCGCCTCGGTGTTAACCTACCCCGATTTGTCACCACAAGCCAAGGAGTTTAGTTTGGGCACGGATGACAGCGATCAGGCCATTGGAGCGGTTTTGTCACAAAAATGGGATGGCATAGAGAGAGCGGTTCCATGCAGTAGCAGAAGACTTACCGCCAATGAAGGAACTAACTGTACGACCAGGAGAGAAAGGTTGGCGTGGGCGTTTTTCATAAAACAAAATCGGCACTGCATTTTAGGAATAAAATTCGTAGCACGGACTGATCAGCAATCACTCAGGTGGTTGCAGAAGTTCGGGGACTCTGAGGGGCAGATGGTTCGATGGGAAGAGCAGCTTCAGAACATTGAGTTCGAATGGCACCATTGGCCTGCGAAACAACATGGCCACGCGGACGCGCTATCGAGGATTCCTTCCCGATATCACAGAAATCGTCCTTCTTGCATTGCGCGACAACTAGCGCTAGTCAACCTAAAAAAGCCCAGTACGGTCGTTGGCAAGGAGCACAGGCTTCGGACCCAGACATATCACTTAACTAGCACGAGCGGGGCTCGGCAATGGACAAACCAGCTTCGATAGAAATGGAAGGGAAGAGCTACGTGGCTCGGTGCTTGTGGGCGTTTTGGGATAAGCTCGCCATCGAACTGGGCGTGTTGGTATGCGATTTCGACCGACGTACCTGAGAAGGACCGTGGTTACACAGGCGTTAGCTACGGAAATGCTGTCTAAATTGCACCAACAGCTGGGACACGCTGGGATCAATAAATTTGAATCGGCGGCTCGCCGACTATTCTGGTGGCCGCATCAACGAAGATACGTTGTCAACTTCTGCCAAACTTGCGAAAGAAGCACGACTTGCAAATGTCCGTGTATTGCTCAAAGGGCACCATTACAATCCATGGCAGCGGAGTACCAGAACGAAATAGTTGGAGTAGACATCGTTGGTCCGCTGCCGTAAACACCGAGAGGGCATCGCTACGTCTTAGTCATGGTAGGCTACTTTACCAAATGGTGTGAAGCTGTGCCAGTTGCACAGGCTGATACTCTCACTGTGGCAACTGCAATGGCTAACCACTGGGTTCGACAATGGCGAGCGCCCGGGCAACTGCTTTCCGACAGGGGATCATGTTTCGAAAGCTCACTGGTTCAGGGGATGTGCATAGGACTCGTTATCGATAAACTGCCAACGACGGCTTACCATGCACAAGGGAACGGACAGGTTGAACGCAGGAATCGGTCATTGTAGTCACTCTTGAAGGCGTTCGTGGAGCAGCACATCTATGAGCGAGATAGGTTGTTGCCTAGATGCTTACTGGCCCATCGCCTTACGGTCCACCCTTATACCGAGCAAACGCCGTCGTTAATGTAGGAGGGTGGAGCAGTTCGGCTGCGCTCGGATGTCGGATTACCGATATCACAACAAGTGTACTCGTCGGTTGCAGAATACGTCAGTAAGCTGCTTGACTCCGTTCGACGCATACAGGAAGCGACATGCATGAACTTGGAGCAGGCTCAACGGCGGCAGAAGGAATACTACGACAAAAAGGTTTTCGGTGTCCCGGGTAAAGCAGGCGACCTCGTATATTTGCCCCAGGCACCAGTCCCAGGAACACCAGCGAAGCTGCACAGTGAGTGAGCAGGCCCCTACGTGGTAGAGCAAATAAGCACTGTGCTGACTTGTGTGATTAGAAACCCAAAAAACGCCGCCGGGCAGCAAATGGTTGTAAATTTTAATCGGCTTAAGCACTTCCAAATCGAGCCTGAACATTCGGATGAGGAGCACCACAATGATCCACGACAGAAGCAGCCACCGAAATTGAATTACCAAATCAAGGGAGCTTTGGCGTGGCAACGGGGACGTTGCCTACCTAGAAGGGGGCGGTGTAATGAACGAACGAACATAGCTTGGCACATGTTCGAATTCGAATCGTTGCTTTGATGGCAGATTTCCCTCTGCCTTTCAGAACGTCCTTCCTGCGCAATTACTGAAGAAGTACAAGAACCGAAGGAGAACAGTTGACCGTAACTTCACTTTCACCATTTTCTAGGTTACATTGAGGCTTTCTTAAAGATCCTACGTGTTGCACGATAGGAGTTCCGTCTCCATCCATGGAGTTCTCCCTCTCCGTATGTTATACATATACCGTGACGCATTTGAAGGTCTCAAACCGCTCTGTCTCGTAGTACCCGGACATGCTTGGCTAACACATGTAACTGCATCGCATTTTTAACCAATGCGGGGGCAGATATATTTCCCTTAATAACACGGGATTGCGGCGGTTCCATTAAATCAGCGAGCCTTGTTCCAGACCGTCGGATACGCCTCGCGCAAACAATGG